GTTATGATTTGTTCTAGTTCTGTGAAATATGTCCTGGGTAATTGGATAGGAATTGCATTAAATCTGTAGATTGCCTTGGGCAGTGTGACCATTTTAACAATATTGATTCTTCCAATCCAGGAGCATGGAATATCTTTCCATTTTTTAAAGTCTTCTTTAATTTCCTTCATCAATGGTTTATAGTTTTCTGTGTATAATTCTTTACCTCCTTGGTTAGATTTATTCCCAGATATTTTATTACTTTGGGTGCTATTTTAAAGGGGATTGTTTCTTTACTTTGTTTTTCTGTTGATTTATCGTTAGTGTAAAGAAATGCAACTGATTTTTGAACGTTAATTTTGTAATTATGGGAAATATTTAAATATCAGATATTTCCCAGGGATGTTCTATTTTTAGTGGAAGGTAAGGTAAGGATTTTGAATTTTTTGTTCTTCATGAAATTCCTTTAAAATATACATAATCCTTTACTTCCTTGCTAACATGTATAATGTGTTGAATATAATTGCAAATAGTGAGGAAGGTGTGTAGGTCTTACCACTGTAGATTTAGCTTATTATTGATCTGTATATCTGTTTTATTAAGCCTTTATTCAGTTACATGTTTATCCTTTGTAGTGTGTATCACAGTAACATTTAATGCAATTAATTATGTGACTGTTAAATATTTATCTTCATCTCTAGATGAGAGTGGAGGCCATTTTTTAAATTGACCACAGTATCCTTAGTACCTTGCACAGTGCTTTACATGGAGCAGGTGATTAATAGTTGTTAAATGAATGAATGACTCCCTTGGCTATTAGGTATACATGTTGCATGCCATCCTAATTCCCTAACCCAACTTCTCCTGTCCCTATCAATTACTCCACTATAATCTCTTAATTTTCTGTTTTGCCTTTGAGACTGTTTTTTTTTTTTCTTCCATTTTTGACTCTATGGGTGACTGCTACTGTGATTATTCCTAATTCTGGCTATCACTGCTCATGTCTTTCAACCTTGTTTTCTCTCTTCTTATGTCTTTGGTATTTAGTTGCCTTTCCCACGTGCAGTGCAATTCTGGCACTACTTGGAGTTAGCTCGAATTTTATAAGTTAAGGGCGCAACACTCCCCTCACCTCAATCACCAGCTCCAGTCTCCTGGGTTCCCAGGCCACCCACACTTCTGACCAATTAGCTACAAATTTCCACTACCTCCTCAGGTTTGATAATTCTCTAGAATGATTGATAGAACTCAGGAAAGTACTATACTTATGATTATAGTTTTATTATAAAGGGTATGGTCGGGATAAGCCAAATAAAGTGATGCATAGGATAAGTTCTAGAAAGGTTCCAAATGCAAGGCTTCTGTGTCCTCAGAACATGTCACCCTTCCATAACATTAATTTGTATGACCAATGAGGAAGCTCACTTGAGTTCTCGGTGTCCAGAGTTTTTTGGAGGGTTTCATTACATAGGAATGATTTTTTGAATTATTTGCCACATGATTGAACTCAATTTCTAGGCCTTCTCTCCCTTCCACCCCCTCCCTATCTGCTGAGGTTAGGAGGTCAGAGTGATATCCCATGGCTCAAAGCCCTAACCCTCTAATTACATGATTCATATTTCCCACATAGGCAGCCCTCATCCTTAAATTGTCTAGGGATTCACCATGTCTCACCTTGTTAGCATAAACTCAGGTGAGGTCTCAGGGGCCCAGCTGTCTTCTAGAAACCAGGGACAAGTCCAGCCAAATTATTATATGAAAATATGCTCCTCAATTTTTGCTAAAGAGGATTTGCCTTATATATATATTACTAGCATGTCAACATTATTTTCAAGATGTGATGTGAGCCAACCAAATCATAGCATGTTAACCATAGTATAATAATCTTTAGCCTTTTTGGTAATATTCATTGTTGCTATGCCCTAAGAGATATTTGTTTATTTATTTAGTCATTCATCTTTGACTAAGCATATTTGGAAAGATAGGACGTTTGTTTTCTCGTACTATATTTAAACATGGTAACTTGCTAGGTAAGTAAAAAAAAAAAAACAAATAATTTTTAGACCATAACTATCAATATTTGGACTTTAAGAATTCTCAAAATCATTTTGTCTAAGAAAGTTAAACAGTTTACTTTCAGGGTGTGGTCTTTAAATTTGTATCTAGATTAACTATTAAGAGTCCGTGTTGATTGCTTTCTGTCCTTCAAAATGTCTTCTTGGCTATAAAATACATAGAAGAAGAATCTTCAGGAAAGGCCATCTGTAGAATAATGATCATTGTGTAGATACTGATGTTTGATTTCATTTCCCCACAGTGGTGCTTGTGTCTACTTCAGTTGTTCAATGATATAGTAAATGTTGTATAAACAGCAAAAAACTATAGATGAGTTTATCAGTTATCTATTGCTCTGTCAAATATCAGCCCAGATTTAGCAGTTTAGAACAACCACTGTTTAATTATTTCACTATTTTGTGGGATGGCAGTTTGGGCTAGGCTCTGCTGAGTGAGTTCTTTTGTCTGTGCCAGGATCAGCTGATCTTGGTTAGGGTCACTTGTGCATCTGTGGTCAACAGGTAGATTGGCTGGGGTTGGCAGGTTTATAATGGTCTCAGCTGGGATGACTGGGGTCTCTCTCCATGTGAGTTACTCAAGTGCTTGTTCGCACAGTGATGGAGTTCAAATACCAGCAAAAGGGCAAGCTCCAGTGTGAAACTCTTTCAGTCTTTTTTCATCATGTCTGCTACTCTTTTCGTTGGCCAAAGCAAGTCAAGAGCTGGCATGAATTCAACAGATTGACAAATAAACTCTACCTCTTGATGGGAGAAGCAACTAAATTCTGTTGCATGTGGTGTTGGAAATAGGGAGGGAAATTGGTGGCCATGTCTGCTATCTACCACAGTGAATCTAAATGTCTAGAGTAGATTAATTAATAGCCTATTTTTTTACTTTTAAAAAATAAATAAATTATTACATGAATCACATTTGATCTTTGTGCTCAAGTCATTATGTGTCAAAATGTACATATGATTAGGTATGAAGTTCTTTTTATTCGGTTGCAGAGCTGAAGAACTATGATCTGTTTTGTTTTTAAAAATTTAATTCTGTAGTATATTAAAAAACAACTGAATCATTGTTGGTAAGAAAGAAAAAATATACAAACAGTGTAACTGTTATAAGTGGAAGAGCTCAGGGTTTTCATTCTTGATTTAATAGTTTTGATAGTTCAGACATATTTTTACCACTGCATATGTATGTTATTTATGCATTGTCAAATTATAGAAATACCTTTCTAGTTTTCACATAAATATATCATTATACTTTTATTTATTTATTTATTTTTTAGTTTTTATAGACATCACATTCTGGTTTT